AGCCAGCCAGATTCTCTGGTTTTACAGTTCCTCTGCACTGATCCAAGGACAGATTCGCCAGCAAGTCAACCACCCAATGCAAATGAACGTGGGCAATCCTAAGTGCCTGCAGATACCCATTAAATTTCAAATGATGCTTTAGAGCATGGTCAAGGATACAATGAAACTGCAGACGTGAAATAAGCCACAAATCCTGCACCTCAATATCCTTCCACTGTACAAGTCACGAGGAGGTTTGGAGAAGTATTTTCTTCAGTTTAATAGTAAAAACAAGCTCATGGGAAAAAAAGTTTATTTCAGTTTTAAGCAATATTACAATATTTTAAAAATGTCTGTTATATGTAAAAGAAAATATTTGAATGCAAAGTCACTGATTACTGATACTCAGTCACTGCACAATTCAAGGGATGATCTCATATATGGTGTCCTGATAATTAACATCAGCTGATGATAGAAAAAAAAGCTCTAAATAGTTCACTATCATTCATTTTAATACTAGTATTTCAGATTAGCTATTCTTCAATACCAATAAAATTTCTTGCAAAAATAGCATACATATTTAGGCTTTTTCAAAAGAACATGTATATGTATATATGCATGCACACAATGTTTTTACAGAATATATGTAAATCAAATGGTTAAATGCTGGTTCAAATCACTAATGGGGGCTATCAACATAATTGGGATTTTCATTATTTCACATTTCTAGCGTCACATCTAGTCATATAATGGTGCTTTTTTAAATTTGAATAATTCTACAAATAGGAGTCATAGTCATTTTTAGCTTGTGAAGTTCAGGTCAAAGTTAATTCCCTCAGATGCCTTTTAGTATATAACTACCTGTATGTGCAGGTGTTACATGTATTATTTTTGAGGAGGCATCTGAGAAAGTTGGATTATCTTGCTTGTTATTATTTGAAGTTACATTGCATAGATATTTGCCCCTGCCCATTCCTATTACAGAAATAGAAAAAAAATACTCCAAAAACCTATATGAAGGTATGAAGAAGACAAAATAAGATTTAATGAAATAGTAACCATAGAAAATAGATCTCATTGTGATATTTATCCATCCCTTTCCATAAGTGCAGGCCAGGTCCCATGGGGACTTCCTTACAGGTAGGCTCTTACACTGCCCTGCTCAGACGCCAGGTTCTGCTGTAGGTGTGCACACCACACATTTCCTCCCTAGCAGCATCACTGTTGCAAAAACGGATATGCATCCTTCTACAGTAGGCCTGTATACCAGTAGGGTGAGCTGCAATAAAATAGATGAGTGTGCTGTATTATTGTAGGTTCGAACTTAAATTTAAAGTTCAAATACTACAGAGTTCATGCTTTGACTAAGAGCAAGTGGCAAATCCCCAGAGCCCATAACTCAAAACCACCCCTAGAAAGGGCAGCAGCCCTCTAGAAAAATTCCCAATTCCCCTCCACAAGTAATTTATACCTTGTTGAGCTAGTGCTTACTCCCAAAGCCCCAGTAATACTACAAACAATCCTACCAATGAACAGTGTGATTGCATTGCATGGCTGTTTTGAAATACTTAGCTAGAGAAGAATAAGTGAAACATAGGTAACTTGAGTCTTAATTTAAAATGAGGCCATAACCTGAGCAACAGCTATCAGAAAAATGACAGAGGTCCTCATACAAGGTTAAAGGACGTTCTGCTTCAACATCGCTCAGGTGGTGTGCAATACCAAGTTGACCACTCAGAAGCATGTGAAAGTCTCACACTAATGGGTCAAAGCAGAAAATAAAGGTTCTCACACAGCAATCTGAAGTACTTGCTTCATAACACTGCCTGTAAGAGAATGAAACTTCGTTTGAGTGCAAGGGTACTTTGCCTCATTTCAACGTGGACTTTAGATTTCATATTAAGAACTTTGATAAAAGGATGAAAAATATTGGTCAGAAAAACTTATAAAATACATGCAAGACTTCAATGAAGTAAAACACAGCTTCATTTCATTACAGCTGATCAATAGAGATGTCAAGATAGTTTCAGAGCAAACAGCCTCTATCAGTGGTACATGAGAGTCCAACTGAACTTCTGATAGAAACCACAGCCACTGTTTGCCTATGAGCATGTATAAGAACGGAGTCAGGCATTACCACAAGCAGCATAGACATAGTCAAAGGATAGTAAGATCTTCTACAGTCTACGAAAATAATTAAGCAAAAAAACAGGTCAAGGAATTTGGAAAATTATCCCTACAAATGCAACTACTAAATTAAACTCTTTAACCACAGGAAACAATCCAAGAGGAGTTTCTGTAAGTATGAGGTTATGAACTCTGAAATATTAACAAAAAAGTATAGCATAAGCAGGGAAACACCTCTTTTTTCTCTGGATATGTAAAATTATCTCAGAATAGAAAAGGCATTCGTTTTAGGAATGTTTCTGATCTATAAACAACATTATCCCTATCTATATATGAACATTTTGTGTAATACACTTAGTACAAACTAAGCTGAGTGACATTACAGAAGGCAATTAATTAGAAATTTTATACAGCAGTTTCTCTTTTAAGGTTCTGTTGAAACCTACACTGTGCATTAAAACCTGTGTCATTAGATTCACTGGCACAGCATAAGGGTGCTGAAAAATCAAGATGTATATTGTAGTTTGAAAAATAAACAGATCTTGTTCTTTGATGTCCCAAAGTGGTTTCTGTTTTCACAATATAAAATATAATAACAGTTAAACAGCAGTTTCCAGGTCAGTACTGCTTGTATCTTTTAAAGATGTGAATAACTTCAGGACTTAGATTCATTTATAATCAGACAGGGAAATCCTTCTCTGAAAGTGTTGTAACTATGTGACTTTTTTCTCAATTACAAGACCTGCAGGAAGCCCAGATCTTACAGGTTAAAGAACTTGCAGTGTTGTTACAGTAAAACCTTATAAAGAGCAAACAAAAAGTGTTTATTTATGTGTCAGGTGAAAATAGCTCCCATGATCCAAATCTAGTTGGCTGAACTACTTAATACAGCTTTGCAGTTCTAAGACGTAGATGGACAGGGCTTTGGGCAACCTGGTCTAGTGGGAGGTGTCCCTGCCCATATCAGTGGGGGTTGGAGTAGATGATCTTTATGGTCCTTTCCAACCTAAACTATACTATGATTCTATGGGCACTAACGTACATAAAGTCACAGGCTCCACTGGTGAAGTTCAGCAGATTCAAAACCAATACAACTTGCTCAAGGTCATGCTGCAGTTTTGTATACTATTCCCATCTTATTTTAGGACTAAGACTACAGCAGAAACAAGCAACATTAGATTAATGAAGTATAGACTATGCTTCAGCAGAAAGAAGACATTTCAGAGAAGCACTGAAAATGATAGAAAACGATAAAAATCAGCATGTTCTGTTCCTCAGTCCATTAGGAAGTGTTTCTAATCTAAAAAGAAGAGAGGACCACAAAGCCCTGGATGTATGCTTGGCAAATGGGTGTACTCAACAAACCCAGAGGAACAATATTTGCTTAAAGACTCGAACTCAGATTAAAATGGTTCCTCAGAAAAATAACATTTCCTTATACAAATGTGACTTCATGCAGCAACCACTCAAATGAAAAAAAATTACCGATTGATGCTTTGAATTTAGATGGAAGTAGCTGAATTAGATTACTTAATATTGCTTTATCTAATATTTCTTGAACATTTCTGTGTGGTAGAGTATTTGTTTGTATTTCAGTGAATACAAGACTAACAATTGCAACATGAAAACACTCAAAAATAAAGGACATTGGTTAAAATACTATAAAATGAGGTGATAAGCTGTAGCCATATACCAAAATTTAAATAGATAACTTTATTTTCAATATGGAATATTGCGTTGTTTTAAAAGATTGTTTTTAGGCCAGGTGAGGTGAAGAAATACAAATGAAATGAGTAGGCAAGTGTAGATGAAGTCGTATGGAAAACAAGCAGAGAGCGCAGTTCTGAATTCCACAAAAGTGGGAAACAGGTGATGGCCACGGGCGATCCTATAGGGCTGCGGGAGCCTGAGCAGCGGGAGGTGCAGCACAGCAGGCGGGCAGCATTAGGAACTTTCAATATCTACTGGGAAAAGCTCTTGTATAAAGTAAAATTGGATATAGATATCAGAAAACAAGGAAAATAAGACTAAAGGTATATGCAAAAAATTTCACAGGTTCAAAAGGCTGCACCAGGAGATACAGTCTTGTTCTGTGTTTTCTTATATATTTCAGTTTGAAGGAGAAATTTGTTTTATGTCAAACCCAAACCTGAAAGAAACTGTGATTAAAATAAATAATGTTTAAGATTATTTTTTTATTTTGGACAAGTCTATACAAACTTACCCACTGTCCCATGTAAACTTTGCAAAGAATTTGACTTCTCTTGAAAGCCAAAAGAGAAGAAATAAACATACTTCAGGTCACAAAATCTGTTTGTTTGTTTTTAAGACAGACTGCCTGATCCCTAATAAAAAATTACACCCTTTTTTTTGGGTATCATTTCCATACAAAAGCAAGTTTACTACCAATTTTTATTGACTTTGAGATATTTTCTGGTCAAATATCAATGTTATTCTCAGACACTTAACACATTACTCAGAATTGTTCAGTTTACGCTCAGTTCCCTTGCCTGACCCAGGTCATCTTGAACTTTCAGGGAAAAGATTGCTGGTTTCCTTTTGCTTTGGGTCAGGCTCAAACTTGTAATCTCTTTTCACAACTGGAGAAGTAAAGAGGAAAAATTATTAACACTTCCATTTTTCCCTTAAGAGATATCCATTGGACTGCTTGATATTTTAAATTTTTTTTTAAGTTCTTGCATGTTATAAAAACATATTTATTTTGGTCAAATGCTTCAGCCATGACTCATAGATAAAGATTAGATGCATAAAATAAGAATACTGCTAGAACTGGTAGCACTGCTATATGGAGACTGAATTATAAATGGAATTTAAGATGGCCAGAACTGAGCACAGCAGGTTTAAAACTCACATATTTTTCCATCTTTAGGAGAATGAGTCCAGATGCTTTCTGGCTTTGCAAGATATTCAGAGCAGAAGAAAACAAGATCAGTTCTAAGTAACAATAAGATTCTTACGTTCTGCAGTACATGCAGCTGTCTGAGTAGGAGAGACAAAAATCCCAAAATCCACAGTGGAAGTTTTCTTTGCAAGCTTAAGATCATGCAAAATAGTGCAACATCTTCACAACTGCCCTGACTGACCACCTTCATATAGCCAATTCCTTCACAGTACATGAAGTGTAAACTGGCATTTCTCTAGGGGAAGGAGGGTATATTCCATTGGGAACTTGTTTTAAATTAAATAAGTATAGACCTAAACTAGTGCCTGGATTAAGTCCAGATTTGGGTCTGTGAAGAATTGCTAGGTCAAATACCTTGGGTCAATCCTTTGAAATAATTCAGATTGTTGGCAAATGTTTAATACACCTGTGGTGGATAAGGGACTTAGCCAAGTGCCTCCTGCAAGTTGTCAGCTGCCACCAGGCTCAGTGGAGGCCAACCACAGCCAGAATTTTGGTCAGTGCGTCACACTGAGGTAATGCTTCCATCCAACACGCCTGCAAGCTGCTCTCAGATCATACATGGTATTGATAAGAGAAAAATGTGTCCTCCATAGCAATACTGAGGTGTGTCTGATGACTCCTGAAACTGTCATGTGGGTGAAGTGGCAGAAATCCAGACAGAATTTACCAAAAGTGTCTCCTGCACAAGGACTTCTCTCCTACACAGCAGTGGCCAGGGAAGCCCCTTACACCATAGTGGGTAAAATAAGTGAATGATAGCTCCCACAAGACACTACAACAGCATTTTCCAATTTCATCTTTGGAGTCCCAGCTATAAAGCCTTAGTTATTTTCAGAAAATATTCAGTTTTTTTCAGTGTAATATATGTTCTTCATCAAATTCAGTCATATTGCAAATCAATGCAGCCAAAAGTTTACTGTCAGCACAGCAGCTATGAAGTGGCATTAATCCAGATCCTAATAACACATTCACATTGCCACTACTGCCTTTTGTATTTTCTTGATTTTAAAAGGAAAGTAAAAAGGTAAAAAGGTGTTCCTCTGTGTCAGCTCCCCCATCAGGCAGCATTCTTTATGCTTCACAGATTAAGGCTAAAGACAAATAATCAGAAATGGAAATAAGATGGCCCTACTGATGATGCTCAGTGAGACAGACAATTGCCACTCATTCTATATACAAGTGCTATTGCTGACAGAAGTGAAAAATTATCTGCGTCAGTAACAGTGAATATTACTCAGAAGCAGCTCTTAAGGAAAAAAGCATTCAAAGGACCAGAGATTCTCACTCCCCATAACCACATGCTTCATGAGTTTATAGAGAGGTGACCTGTAGCTCATGAGAAGGGAAAAAAAAATCTTTTATGGGCAAGAGTTACCAAAGAATTATTGACTCCACAATTTGACAGTGGTAAAATTTCTATTAGTATATATTTCTCTAATCAGGTAAGATTGATCAGGAAAGCTTGATTTAATAATCATGAAATCGAATTATATCAAGTTAAAATAAACATGTGGTCACCAATTAAAAAAGTTACAAAGCTAATAATGGCTATTGTGCAGCAGAAATCTATGAAGCATCATGCAGCACACATACCAAATCCAATTTTACTTTTAATTTAAATTTTAAAAAGTTTTGAGATACTAAGGAGCTGTTGTCAAAATTGTAGCTAATATGAAAAAAAAAATACTCAATTAGAAGAGATCTTCTCCCAGGTTTGCCTGACTTGTAATTGAAAGCACCCACAGGAATACTTCCCTTGTGTTTTCTTCTGCTAATATAAGCATAAGCATTTTTTCCAGGTTACTGGCACTGATGTCCTATAACTGCAATGCTTGAAAACCAGTTGGTGTAAGTGGAGCTACATGCACTTAAATGGAGCTATTGGCCCTCAAACATTTGTTTTTCCTTAAAGTGTTTAGTCTCCCACCTCACTACTTCCATAGTCTTTCCCAGAATTGGGCAGGAAACTCCTACAAGCTTATGAAATTATTGCTTAAGAAGAGCAAACATGAAAAAAGAAATCAGATTTTAGTCGCCTTCAAGAACTGTCTAGATTAGTGATAATGTGTCATACTGCACTGTAAACAACTGGAGAGAGATGGAAGCCCCTTTTGGCTAAGATTGTATTAACCTTTCATTATTTGCCTTACGCTCAGAGCTTATATTCAGCTCTTGGCTGAAAAGTCAACTTAGATGTGAAAGGCCTTTAAATATTACAATAACATCTTGAGCCCTTAAATACTTTGCTAATAAATACAAACATGAACATTTCAAACTGTGACATTATTCCTGTCCCAAAGAAGTTTCTATCTAGGAAACTAGTACTTTCCTTGTGATTCTCCTAAGCACAATTTAAATAAGTGAATGCCATATTACATGGGAGCAGCTTGAGATGGAACTCCATTTGTTAGAGCAAGAATATTTGCTTCAGCATAGCAAGCACAAGATCTAGGACATCCAGAAAAATCTTTTTAAATGTAAGATTCTTACAAATCTTATTTAAATTAGGGGACAGATTTTCAAGAATGCAATTTCATTTAATTTTTTATACTTTGAACCACAGCTAATCCTACAATAACCTTCTCCTTTTTTTTAAAGGATGTCTTTGGAGGAAGTGCTACAACGGTCTCAGTCTTTTGAAAAGCTGATAACATGTAAGTAATTGTATGCTTGTATACCAGATGGAGTACTGAAAAAAGTTCCCACAAGGCAAAATCAATAAGTCATGCAGTACAATGTATGCTTTCTTCTATGCAACTAATGAAAAACAACTTTGCATGACATGCTTAGCTTGCATCACACTGAATATAAACACAGCATGCTGTAAAGGCTTTCCCAAACTTGACATTTCTGCAATCACACGCAATTCTTGTAAAGACATGTTGTGTCTTTACAATAGTGAAAGGTTTATCTGCCATATGCCCACTTGGAGCAGTGTATAGCAACATATCTTAGAAGAAAGTGAAAGAAAAGTTGACTTGGGAAATCATGTGTATGGCAAAGACACCATAGCTAATGGTACATCTGTGCAGTGCAATGCCAGGGAAGGTAACTCTCACCCTCATCTTGGCTATGGGAAGAACCGTAGTTGCAGCAGCAAATCTGAAATTTCCCTCTTCAGCATCCCTCTGCCTTATTCAGGGCTCTCCCACATTTTTCTTATGGCCAGCAGTCCGGAATATCATTGCTCATTTATTTATTTATTTATTTAATATTGACAAAGATGTCTTGTACAGGGTTATATCACAGCACTCTACCTCTAAACCTTGAAAATTTATTCCTAAGGACTGGCATTGTTTTCAAAGTACAGACAAACTACAAAGAGCAAGAAGATTATGAGACAGAATTTGTAACAACTACGAAGATGTTAATGGCAAAATATTTTTCTTTAACAGCAAAAAACATAGTACATTACCGTTTGCAGAGAAAGCACAAAGAGAAAGTGCATAACACAAAACATTTAAAAGAGACAAAATTATAGCACAAGCAGCAGGCATGCATGCAATCTTCTTAAGATACCTGGTTCACTGCACTTAGATGGCACTATTCATTGTTTTTTAATTCATTTCAATGCTTAACATCAGAAATTGCAAAGCTGAACTCTCATGAAAAGCCAGAAACTCTAAAGCCAATGGAATTGCAGCTATTTCTGAGAAGTAGGCAAGGTGTTTGCCTATCGTAGGTTATATTCTGAAAATAGATCTTGAAACTGCAAGCACCATTCCTGTTCAAGTGCTAGCACCAAGTGGTAAATGTTCTCCTGGCTAGAGGCATTTTAGCAACTCTATCGCCCAATCTTGTACAAAGCAAGTCTAATGACATGACAAAAAGGCAGCCTCAGGAATTCAATTTTTGCCAAGATCCCACTGATTGCAGCTGTCAAACTTCATTGCCAGGTGTTTCAATGACATCCTTAGGTGCAGAACAACTTATTTGCTGAACAGAGTATTTTACCTGCTGTACTTCACACTCAATAACAGCAACAAGAAAAAAAAACTCCTATTTTTGCTAATTGCTTTTTCCGCAAATACTTTTATCAAGGAAAAGTCTTATTTTTCACTCAGATCATGATTATGATTTTTTGGTAATACTTGGATATCTTCTATACAAAACTAGAACTGGAATTTAAAAATACTTGTCAGTCTTTGGATATGTTTGGTAGTGTTCGCACAGACCAGGAAGAACAAACTTTTCAGTGCTCTGTCCCTGCACAGTGAAAGGCCACTGAGGTTAAAGGGAGCTCTGCACATGCAGGAAAAGGCACCATTGAAGTGGAGGGCTCCAGGGTGAGTTACTGTGTTTAATTCCCCTCTTTGTCATAATCTAATAAGAATATTTATAGGTGTACAAGCAAGAATTATACTGCCTTGTAAACGTCCCTAAAGACTTCAAAGACTTTAAAGGTCATGCATATATACATGATAAATAAATTTGGCTTGTGAAATATTTACAGATGGGCCTATGATCTACAAGACCTACTTGAAGACACAGCACAGTGATGAAAACAGAATTCTTGCTTGCTTGTGAAGCTTATAAGAAGATCACATCACAGAGGAAAGGATTGCTGTGGCCAGGAAACTTTTTACAAGTTACATTCAACTCCAGGCTCCCAGTGAGGTGACATACGATAACACAAACTCCTTATTTCCTGTAACAGAAATGCCTAATGTCTAATGTAGCTGATTACAAGCAACAACAAATGCCTAGCATGTCTTGTATTAAAGGAAGTGAAAACTGTTGCTATTCATCCGCAAACTCTTTTGCACCCAGAATTTTAATACTTGCCTTCACATCTTGTCTGTAAGCAAATCTTCAGCCATGTCTGCCAAGGACAAAAGCAGGAGGCACAACTAGATTAAGAACCAAGTTCTTGGATCTGTTCTGTTCTTTTTAGCATCTGATCCAGGGGCCACTGATATAACTTGAATAGATTTGTCTTATGCCATTGCTACATGTCTATATCACTCTGGAGCAAAATAGAAAGCAAAGAGCAAATAGAAATGAATGAAGTAGAAACTCTACCCGGTGCTGTCACCTTTGTAAAAATGGGCTAAAAAAAGTTTCAAAGACAGATTAATTATTTTCTGCTTCCAGTAGCACAAGATTTAGGGAAAACTGATCAAATCTGTATGTAAAAAGTGTGAGGGTGATTTTTTTTCCTGACAAGTGGGTATACAAAAATTTCCTGTTTAGCCAGTCATATTCTATGACCTTTAACTATCCCTGCTTATTCCTGTCTTTGCAAAAATAAGCTAATACTGGCTTTTACTGCCACTGCCTCTGGCAGACTGACATAACTGAAAAATCAGGCTAGATTATTTTCTGGTTTACGCATAACAATAAAACCATTATAGAATCTCAAAATGCAGCCTCCTTATTGACACTGAAGGTCAAGCCAAAAATCAAACCAGCTGGATTCCCAAATGCTGGCCAAGAGCAGTTGCTGCTTTAAATTACTAACCCACTCCCAGTGATTCAAAACTTGAAGAAATTTGAAAGTTCCCTCTGTTGGTTTTAAATCCTGATTGGAAAAACAATGCATTTTTCTGTCTTTCTCTGCTTCATTTTATTTTTAGCATGTGTAGCAATAGAAAATGCAACACGACAATTCCATTTCCAAAAGAGAAATGTCAGTATTGCCAACCACAAATTCATTAAACAAAAGCAAGAGCTTAAATCAAAACAGTTAAAAATAAGCCATGTAATTTTTTTTTCCTAAAATAGTATGTATTTGAATCTTGGTATTTGCTGTCTGGTTTCTAGGTCTTCAGGAAACACTGATTTCACATTTTCTTGATATTCACTTTTAACACAAGAACTAGGTACTGCTCTAAAAAGGTAGTCGCTCATGAGATTTTTAAACTGATTATATTCATATTTCAGAAGCATTTAAAAGGTGTAACTCAAAAGACTTCTCTAGAAGAGCAAAATCCCAACCAATGAAAGACATCAGCACTACCTTCACATCTTTAGAAATCTACTCTCAAAACTAACAAAGTCAAGCTAAAAAGAAAAAATTTAATTCATCATGAACTAATGGATTATCAGAATTTCCCCATTTTATTTGGTATACTTTCATTTCTACTCTTACATACCCACAGAGCTTCAATTTATTTGCTTCAAACCCTGGATTGCAGCAGAAGTCTTCTAGGAATCAAAACTTTTCCTAAACAGTCTTGGTATACGGGTTCAGTTTTATCTTCTCAGATATCATTGCAATTTTAGCAATTGGTTTTCACTGGTACTGTGCACCTCCAGGCACTTGGACTCATTACAAATGAGAAGTCAGGCTTCCTCTTCAGGGATCTATTCCTAGCTCTAGGAACAACTCTTAGCAGAAGAAAGAGCAGTTGTATGTCAGCACCTTTCAGCTACTCCATGCAAACCATATCCTCAGGACTTCTTCATCTGCTTAAATCACACACATTCAAGGGAGCTCCAGGGACCAAGCTCCCCATCCAGCCACTAACGTATCTCTTACTAAATCAAACAAGAGCAAAAAGAGGAGCAAATCGGTAAAACACCATTTTCTGGCATTATAAGGAGAAATCCATTCTGACATAATCAATGTTTTTGATGCTGATGTTAAATTGGAGAGTATATAAAAAGATAGAAAAGACACTCAGTACAGGTCCCCTAAATTCAATCTTCCTTACTCTTCCTTTGCATGCATTCAGGGACATTTAAGTAACAATGTCTTCTGTTTCAGATTAACATTGACAGTCCTGCGAGGAAAACAATTATAAGGAATATTCAAGAGCCAACACAGTTCTGTTTTGATGAAGCACAGAGGATAATTTACATGCACATGGAAAGAGATTCTTATCCATGGTTTATTGAATCTAAGTTCTATCAAAAACTCAAACACAGGCATTTAGAAAGGTTTATTCTGGCATGCAGTTGTAAGATTCAAAGTAGACAGGAGAAATTGGACTGTAGACAAATATTATTACTAATCTGCTAAACTGTTTTGTTGATGTTAGAATTGATGAGGCACTATCTTCCTCCTTCCCTTTGTTTTCCCATCTAAGAGTTCTGGGTTGTTTTTTTTCCTCTCCTCTCAATAAAACCCTACAAACTAGTGAAAACTACGTATAAAAGGTTCAGCCAAAAGTGATAGCCTAAAACTTTTATCAGTATTTGAGAACTCTAATGCCACATTTTCAGTATTCTTGTTTTGAGAGATCTGAAAAAAACCCACCAGTTTTGCTGCTAGGAAATAAATGTTTATTGGCTATACATATCACAGAATAAAAGACATCTGCATTGCTGCATTTACTTTTTTGTTGTTGCTTTATTCTTGTATTCTTTCAAAGTAAAAGATAAACTGTGAACTACAGCTGTTTACTTAATCTTAAACTATAAAGTGTAGCATTCATATGCCTTAGAGTCGATTTTATGCTGAATTATGATGTCTAACATCTGCTATAAAGGTACTAGGCCTACAGTATACTATAACACTACCAGTGTTCCTGAATTTATCTCCAGTGATAAACAAATATATTGCTTTCCCTTCAGGTGCCTTAATAATTAGATACAAGCAGACCTGACATTTGCAGTGTATCATACTGTAACACAAACAGGTCTCATACATAAAGTATAAAAGAAGACTTGCTGATTCATTGATCAAGTATTGAAGTACTCTGGTTTACATTCAAAAACCAATCTGACTTCTCAAATCTCATTAAGACTGGAATCTCTTCATTATTTTAATGGACTTCAGCATAGACACTAAAAGCCATAGGATATCAGGGACCTTTCTAGCATCTTCTCAAGCTGCATTATTCCAAGGATTACAAAGAACACATCATTCTGACAGCAGCCCCATGAACCCCAGAGCAGCACATCCTCTGGGATGATTTCACAGGTGAAATGAAGTATTTATTCAGAGAATGCTCAGAGGAATCAGAGGCACTCACAAACACATTTTTATGGCATGAAAAGTTTAGTGTTTATTTTGCTAACAGATCATAAGTCTAGCAACCCTTATAGCTAGAGGGTTTATTAACTTTACATTGACTTCTAGAAATAGCTAGAAGTTTGTTTGTTTGTTTTCAAGTTGGAAGTAAAGAGGGTCCTTTTCCTGAAATAGATTTATTGTTAACTGGTAGGGATCTTTCTTTTGCTTGATTTTTCTTTCGTGTTACCAGTTGCATGAAAACAACAACAGTGTATTTCATCAGGTCACACAATTCATAAAACAGTAACTCATGGCAGCAGTAATAACAATTCACTGCTTTTAACATTTTCATTAACAGCACTTGAACGAGCTCAGGTATACTTTCCACTGGCAGACAGCACTAAAAGGCATTTGCTCACATTAATCACTCAAAGCTTCTGTTAAGAAAGAAAAAAAATTAAAATAGCTAAATTGGCAGAATTCTCTCTCATACTTCCCTCATTTGCTTAATACTTAATTTAAAGAAAAAAAATCAAAACCATGGCAACTCTTCAGATACACTAAAACTGGCAATATAGAAAGGTAGATTAATAAAGCCACTGTAGCAATTAACTGTATCCAACCTTGGAAACTGTTCACCTATTGAGGCTCCCTAAAATAAATAAACAAACCATACTGGACAGATGGTCTGGGGGTATTTTGGTTTGTTTGGTTTTTGTTGTTGTTGCTGTTGGTTGGTTGGGGATTTTATTTGTTTGTTATAAGAGCTGACAATTAGATCATTTTCACTTTGTAAATATCAGCTGTGTTGGCCTACTTTCTTGATAAAAGTAATGAAATTCATACTTTATTCTTATACTGCTGTTCTCAAGAGTTTTACATCAACTCTTGGTGTCTAGGTGAAAAGTGTAGAGTAAGAAATGCAGATTTCATATCAGGTAAAAACAAAGTAAATATCTGCTTATAATTAGAGTTAGTCAAAACAACATTTTAAGAACAACATAGCCTAATATTTTCTAGATAGATGAGTAGTAAAATAATATACAATGTCTCTCCATTATACTATCAAAAGCCTTCAGAGAATAAGTTTTTCATGAGGCTTTTCTCTCAAGTTCTCTCTATTTCATACTCCCACATTAACTTTAGATATTTCTGCTTTTAAATCCCAAGAAAAACTATAGGCAGTCTCACTCTAAGCATAGTAATGAAGTAATATCCCAAATGTGGTACTGTAGACAACTGACTTAAACAAATATTATGAGCAGAGATGTTTATCACTAATTACAGGGCAGATGAGAATGTTTGGGAACCTAGAGCCCCAGAGGAAAGGGAAATGACTGTAGCATTTCCAAGTATTGCCAAATATACAGGACTGTTGCAATCACAGGTCCCTTCAGAAACTGATGTTTGGACTAATGTTCACTAAACACAGGGGAAAGAGCGCAATGGAAGAAGTCTTCTGAAAAGCACATTTTGCTGCACGTGCTGCATTATGTGGCTACAGACCATTGCCTTTTCAGGACAAAACCTGCATCCTAACACAAGCTTGCCTGCAGTCTCCTGCAGTGAAGCTTCATAGTGGCAGTAACCTCTCTCAGTAGAATTACCCATTTAATAAGCTGCCAGTAACACAGAGTAAGTGTACAGCTTTGAGATCCTTTGATTTCAAAATCTTAACTTTAAAACTCTAAAAAATTGTAGAAGAAAAAGAAAAAAATATTTAAAATTTCATTACCATTTCATCTCATGGTCATGAGAATAGGGAAGGAATTCTAACTTTTTATCAAAAAAAGGGGTTTTTTTGTTTTACCTATGACTTTATTTTCCCTCCAAAACTGTTATTCAGAAATCTTTGTGTCCTGTACCTCAGATATTGCTCAACTCAAAGTACAATGCCACTAATAGAGGGACTAAAAGCAGCTCCTTACTGCAATGACATGCACCTCACAAAATGGGAAACAGGGAGGGTCCACCCTGAGAAGCTTATGATTGTGTGTGGGGTTTTAACGACAGCAAACTCCCACTGATGGGCTACAGACCTCCTTCACAACTGTAGCTCCTCAATGCCACATCCTTTCTCCAGATTTCTGCGTCAGGTTCACAGATCTGAGGATAAGGGGGGAAAAATCTGAGGCTTTACAGCATGAAGGCAGGAGACAGAGCTGCAGTTCCTCTTCTGCAACCCCATCCCTCTGTTAGTCATTTTTACAGGACCTCATAGATTCACAGCATGTAGTTCTCATTGGGTAACAAGTTAGTGAGCCAAAATCTAAAAATTGCATCTAAGACTTTGTATAAGCATTGCTTTCCTGTCCAGCTGCAAAGAGCAGAAGCTTTGTAACAGTAGTAAAAGTGTGCTCTGCTAAGCTGGTAACAAGGCCTAAGATATAACACAAAACCACAGCTGAAATATTGCATTTTGTAAACATCAGAAGTGCCAGTAATCAGAAATCAAATTGTCACTGTGTTTATCAGGTCTCAAAGGAACATGGCATTCATCTAATGACAGATTTAAATTGTTACCTCTGCTTGTGTCCTGGCTTGCCTGTCTCGCTAGTCTCAGATCGATAAGTCAGAAGTTTCCCAGAATATCCGTCACTGGGGCTGTTGCTACGTACAGCACCAGTCAAGGTAAATAGTTTTTTCTCCCACACTTCTTGTCTGCAAATGGTGATTCCAGTAATTACCTCAGTAACAACAGGTGAGCAAATAAGAACAAGATTTCCTTTTTTTCTGAAGAAATAGTTACGTACTCAATTATTTCATGGAGTTGTTTCCTTTCTACCATGCCATGATTCACTTTGCCTTTGCTTAGAGAAAAAAAGAGCACAGGACTGTAACTTTACTTGCATAAATGCACAGAGAATAACTTTCCAGGCCAAGTTCTAAAAGCAGTTTTCAGACATTTGCAATTACAAAGATTTACTATTCACAACACACAACTAGGTCAGTTATTAACGAGTCATTCGGTACCATGGCAGATTACATCACTTCTCAACAGTGGAAACCATCAATATCTTCTATTAATTACTCCCTACCAACAAAGACATACTTAGTTTTTAGTCTCATAATTCAAGAAGTCCACAATGTATTTAAAAAAATGAAGAGGAAGATACACCTAGAAACTTCTAGCCTATGAATCATTGCCCATGTTATTCCTTCACTCAATTTTGTCTGCTGCCGAAATAATCTTACAATAATGAAAGAGGAATTTAATATTTGTAATCTCATTTCAGTTCAGATACCAGTACGAAAAATCACTTGTTTATACCTCATCATCTTCTTCACTCACATGTTTTTAGATATTTTAAAGGGTTTGTTGTTTGTCTGAGAAGGATGAGAGGAGATAGTATCAGTGCTTATAAATATCTAAAGGGCGGGTGTCAAGAGGATGGGGCCAGACTCTTTTCAGTGGTGTCCTGTGACAGGACAAGGGGTAATGGGCCCAAACTGGAACACAGGAAGCCCAAGCTCAACATGAGGAAAACCTTTACTTTGAGGGTGACAGAGCAGTGGAACAGACTGTCCAGAGATGTTGTGGAGTCTCCTTTTCTAGAGACATTCAAAACCCGCCTGGATGGTATCCTATGCAACCTGCTGTAGGTAAACCTGCTTTGGCAGGGTGCTGGATCCAGAGGTCCCTTTCAACCCCTACCATTCTGTGATCCTGTAAATTGTATTGGTTATAAACATCTATCACTTACTAGAGGGCTTAACATCTAGCCCCTTTGGACAAGTTCATACTCTCTCAGGAGTAACCTTGGTGCTGCTTTAAAGACCTCTCTCCACTCTATACATATTAAGCCTTTCAGTATGGTCTCCAACA